CTTCTTCGGTAGAAACTCAGCGGTAGGTGTGGCAGTTTCAACCGGGACAGCTGTTCTGTTCCCTCCCTGCCCGCCGCTAGCAACGTGGGAGGGAGACCCAAAGCCACGGCCGGGAGGGAGACCCAAAGCCACGGCCGGGAGGCAGCGAGGGCTGCAGAGGAGAGCGAGCAGCAGCCCCCCGCGCTGATCGCGGCTCTTCTCCGCCCCCTCTGAGCTCCGGCCGCTGTTCCCTTCCAGGCACAGCAGCTGAGCGAGGACAATCGCCCTCTGTCTTCCCACTTCCAGGACCCCCCTTTTTTTCCAGAACAGCCGAGCGCGACGGAAAAGGAGCCAGGGGGAGTATGGGCGCCCTCCTACCTACTCGGGAAGTCAGGTCCAAGAGGCATTTCCCATTGGAGGAAGGGGGGTGCAAGACCCCCTCCGCTCGCAAGACTCTCTTCGGCTTGGGGGATTCAGCTCAGCAGGCACAGGGAGCCGCAGTTAACTGGAGCCCCGCTATAGCCCCGGGGGAGCAGGGTTACTAGGAGACTCACCTCTTCTGACGGCTGCTCTGAGGATTCCCGCTGAGCGGAAAGTCTCGGGGCTCCTTCGGTGCAACAGGCGGGTAGGGAAGGCACCTTTCCGCAAGCCCTTCAGGCTGGATCAATCCGCCTCCCTCTCGGCTGGCTCCGGCGAGCGATTTCTTCGGCCCGAGCTAGCCCCTCCCCCTATTTCAACTGCTGGACGTCCAGCGAAAGGGGCCTGGCCTCCCGGGCGATGGGCGGACTTGGGCAAACCCCAGAGGCTTCCAGGAGGACGTTGCGGGAGCTGATCTGCTCTGGGCAAAGGAGGCCTGGCTTTAGGAAGCCGGGAAAAACGCGTAGTTTCCTCCACCCCCCTGCCCGCAACGGGGCGGGAGAGACTTTCTGATCCAATTAGCCCGCTACCGCTCTGGGGGTGAACCGAGGCCCTGCCCAGCAGCCGTGGTGGTGGCTGAGCTGGCCATCCTGGAAACGGGGCGAGAGAGTCGGTATCCACCCAGTTTTGGAAGGAAGAAAAATCTGTGGGCTGAGAGCTGGGACGCCATGGGAGCAGCAGCGCCTCTGCACATGTGGAAAGCTCGGAGCTGCCAATGAGTAATCGAACCCTTCCAGTCCTACTTCTAGGGTTAGGCAAAAGTGCTTACGCCCCGGCGTCTGTTCCAAGTATCTCCAACCGCAGAACCCGTCCCCCTCTCAGTAGATTACAGGAGCCCAGGATGAGATACTTTGTTTGGTAAGCATGCTCATTTATTACAGGAAGATATCACAGGGAGAAAAACTATTGCAAGATGGGAGATAACTCCCATTTTAAAAATAGCTACTGCACGTATTTAAGCAAATAGGTTGTATTTATCTAGTAAGCCATTAAACAAATACCCCTAAAGATAGCGTTTATATGTTAGAGTTAGGCGGAGAGTTTTCAGTCAACTCCTCTCTACCACCCCCCCCCAAAAAACCCGTCTTCTGATGGACAGTAATGTCATAAGTATGAAGAATCCCACTTATTGAAACTGTTGCATTGCACATGGAAAAGCCAAATTACCTTTTCTGCTGCTTTGTGCCCTCCTTGCCTATAATCATCAGCCTGTCACTTTATTTCCAAGAGCAAAGTCTGGCTGCTGAAAAACTCAATGGTGGCCAATGTATTTTTGTCCACCCATTTGCTCTGACAAATATAGCTCCACTTCTATCATTCTATTTTAAAAGTTTCAGGATCCTCATTAAGTCTTATAAGGGCAGTCTAAAAGTAGTGAAAATGTAAAGGCTTTTGAAGTGCCCTGATATTTCTCCATCTCACAAGATGTTACAAAAACAGAGAAAGAAGCCTGGGGCAAAAGGCCGGACTGAAGGTTGAAATGCTGGGCCTTGAAATGGAATGTGGGAGGGGATGATTAAGGTTCAAATTAAGCAGTACCAGGTGCTGCAATAGTTTCAGGTTACATTCAGGACTGTTAAACAAATAGTATTAGGTCTCTGATTTTTTTAAAAAATCCTCATGTTTAAAAAAAACATCCTCACATTTCAAAATTATTAGTTGTTATAAGGCATGATGCCTTGAGACTAAATTTACATTTACTTTATATATATATACCACTGTTTAATAGTTATTCCATTTAAGTCAGGGTTTTCCATTTAACCATTTGAACTTTTCTGTATCTGCGAGATTTTAAAATTTTTGAAGTAATGCAAATGTCAGTATTCCTTTGAGGAATAGACACAATATCCCAATATATATTACTAGTCATTAAGGTTCTACCACCAATGGAAATATGCCAGTACTTGTTTCTATCCAAAGTTCACACCCTATGCAAATGTTTGAGTCATTTATGTGTAAGAAATAGTCACTGTTAATTACTCAATAGGAAAATATTTTGTACACATTGAGTAGGTGCAGGGCATTACATTAAACCAAAGGAAGCAAGGCGTGTAAAACTTAGCCACTGTATCAGAAAAATACTTGTGTTCCCATAAGTTATTAGAAAGTTCAATCCTAGAAAATTCTCCATAAGCTTATTTTCCTTAGCAGTTTATTCAAAACATCTTGTTAAATTTAGTGGGTCTTACCAAAAAGAATCAGTGCATCAAAACCATAGCTAAGCAAACCTAAATAATTATAATTAGGTATCCTTCTTCAAAGGTACTAGAGTGCAAATAATAATAGGGAACTGTATTAGTCTACAGCAGGGATCATCAAACTTTTTAAAGGGGGCCAATTCACGGTCCCTCAGACTGTTGGTGGGCGTGGCTAGATGGTCATGTGAATGGGTGGGCGTGGCTAGGTCATGTGACTGGATGGACTTGGCCAATTGAACAATGCACACAAATTAAACTTTACTNTCTTTGGGCAGTGCTGGCTCTTTGGCTTTAAAACCACCCACTAGAGTCTGGAACCACTAGCACATATGTGCGAGGGGAACCTTTACCTTATACACATTTGAAGAAAACCCTGGTAGGCACCAAGAGTAATTAGGACCAAGATTCTTTTTTTTTTTTCCAATTTAGGAAATGAAGTTGTATCTAGAGACTACTTGTATTGAAAAAATTTGCAACAAGCAACCTATAAATGAAATATTATTTTTGTATTCCACATTTTGAGACTGTACAATTGCTAACGTAGGAATGTAATATATAGGAAATGATATTCTTGAGTTGGACAAAATCATACCTCTAGTATATAGTTAAGATGTTTCAAGAATAGCTAGCCTACATGAACACAATAGTAATAATTGCATTTAATTGGGTCTCTACTGTTTATAGGGATGAAAAATGTTAATTTATCCGGACTAACAAATACACAGTATATAATTCTACTGCAATTATCAACCCACCCATGAATTTATTTATTTATTTATCTTAGTAAGAGTTCCTTGTTTTCATTATTTCCATTCTGTTTTAACACAAGGATACTTGTAATCTAACACATTTGTTGTGATGTTACTGAGATAGTATTGAATATGATACATATCAAGCGACTGGAAAATTAAGAGATCCTGTCAACACATGGGCACAACTCTGCTTATAAATAAAACCTTTTAGGTTTATAGTCCATGAGAGGACATCTATATACAAGCAGCTGTATATATTTCAAACTGCAGTTAACCTCCAATTAACTGACCTTACTTTAGAATATACAAACTATTCATCATTTTATGCAGTTGTTACACCCTTTGATGTATGCATTAAATCCCATTTCATATTTTTCTCTTATATTACAATCTGATTCAACTGACATTTAAATGAATTTGAATCTGACAGTTATGCCCCCTTAGTTTATTAAATCAAAGGTTTACTATATTCTTAAATCACGTGACTTAAGAATCTTAGACAAGCCTACAAAATTTTAATTCCCGTATAGCAGAAATATTGTCTCAACTTGTTGTAAAGGATGTGAAGGATGGCTAACTTGTGAAAGAAACTCATTGTAACCTACCATAATTATGCCACAGATAATACCTAATACAACAATGTAAATGTCAAGAAAATTGCAATGCAGAGCCATGCATTTAAACATCCAATTATGCCACACATAATACCCAATACTGCAATGCAAATATCCAGAAAATTACTCTTAATACAGTTGCGGTACATTTAAACATCCAATGCCAAGGCATGTGATTTCCAAGTCAAGTGACCTAGATTATGCCTAAATGCATCTATTGACATGACAGCTCAATAATGGCTATAAAGTAAACAACTATTTAGGAAGATTCAGCTACAGCTTCTGTAGAGTGTGGTGCAAGCAGGAAAATGATAGTCCAAATGACAAACCAACATTCACCTCTCTCTTCTTCTGACCCAAGATAATAAAAACCCATGAAACAGTAGCATTATGGTTACAGCAGAAAAGGACAACTTTTATATTCTCAAAAGCGTGACTGTTTATGGGTTGACATTGGAAATTCATTTGATAGGTTATTCCAAACCCTGCCGTGTAGATTCTGTAACACAGTTATCATCAACTGCAGGAAGGGTTCTTGGCCAATATGAATTTTACAGCTTTTTCTATATGTAGTTCAAATAATAAAAACTTCATTGAAATGTAACAGAATCCTCAAAACATTCTTAAAACGAATGTTTTAAGGAAGGGCAGTTATGGTAGTTTATAAGAAAACTTCCCTGAAACAAGAATACTGTAGCTTGCAAGATTTTTTGTACAGATTCCTTAGCTCGATCTACATTCTTGGTTTCTTTTTACCCTCAGAAAAAAGAGCATCATTATAGATAAAGCTTATAGTAAATAATCAAGTCTCACATATTGATAATCTGTGATATAATGTCTGAATAATATCATCTATGGAAGAACTGAATCATTTGCTGAAAAATGTACTAAATTCACCCATAGGTATGTTAAGAATTCAATAACAACGCGAATAGTTGTGACATGCAACTTTGTGAGCTTTTTGCGTCAACTATCCTTATGCTCTAGAATTAAGCAGCAGTGGATGACCTATTGTGCACAGGGAATAATTTTTGGTTGCGGGAGAATATAACTAATCTCTATATTAAGTCCTGAAGAATCTACAAAGGCAGTTTAGCCTCGCCCAAATCTCAGTTAATTAAAAAAAAAACCTAGGAAATAGCTAAATCAAATTTAATAGTTTGCTTTAATTCAATTACAGTCCTCCTTTCTATATTCATGATTTATGGGACCTATATACAATGTAGAGGTGGTCCTCAACATACGACCACAACTGAGCCCCAAAATTAAATTGCTAAGACAGTTACAGTAAATCACTGCAGTTGTTAAGTGAATTATGTGATTGTTGTTGCTGGTATTGTATCCAGCTTCCCGCTTGAAGAAATCCCGGAGGATTGCAATTGGCAATGTGACCCCACCAATTATGATGCAACCATTATAAATATCGTACATGCCTATTGCCAAATGCCCAAATTTTGATAATGTAACTGTGGGGATGCTGCAACAGTTGTGTTAGAACCAGTCATGTCCCTTCTCTCAGTGCTGTTACTTCAAACAATTGCTAGATGAATGGTTATAAATCGAGGACTACCTGTATACAATGGATTTCAAATAGACAGGGCAAGCTATTGTATATAATAAACAAGGAGTGAACCCCACATTCGCTCGCATGGATGTTACCTAGTCAGACAGTGAAATGTCTGCAAGCAAGCAATCACGCCCAGAGAGCATTCAAGGACCCCAAGAGTAGTGTCCTTTAATATACATCTCTACCTTAACACAGTCTTGTTTCATTTATGCAATAAGATCTCTCCCTTCAGGTACTGATGGAACATGAAGCCTAGGATAGTTGTCCCAAAAATTAGAGACAGTTGGAAGTCACACAGTTAGTGATTCTTTACATCCTGACTCAAATATTGTTGCTGAAAACTATATTGTCAAATTTGTTTTACTTAAAGCGCACAAAATAACTTTCCTCTGACTACACAGATAGCATCTCAGTCATCTTGAAACATTAGGCTCACCTCCCACCCTTGGGAAATTGTGAGGTTAAATGCCCACAAGAAGCTTGTTTCTGTTGTTCTAGAAAAAATAGCACACATCCATGCTTAAAATGCTGGAGAAGGTATCCAAGTAAAAGGGGAAAAAATAAAGTGCTTAACTGAAATTGCTGCCTAATCTTGGCTCCCATGACAAAAACACACAAATCTGTAGAATATCTCATATATTTCTACCTCCTAGGTAGCATTTGTGAGAGGTTAAGCAATCATTTATTTTCTTCAGTTGTCAAAGCTATCAGAAGCCATGGAACAAAG